TATTAATGCTTGCCCCGCAATCTAATTTTCTTCCAACCATTGATTTTGAACATATTTTTTTTAAGTTTTCAAAACAACAAATGACACAAAATTATTGGCCGAAGTCGTAGCATCGTTCGTGACCGTGATACTGGTAGAGTAGCCCAACGTCAAGGAAGTGGGCCGAAGAAGAAAACAGCAACATCAGCAGAAATGGTTCGAAAAGTAAAGAAGCGACTTGATCGAAACCCGCTACGCAGTGGCCGAAAAATGGCTCGTGAGCTGAACATACCGAATATTCCATTCGGCAAATATTGAAAAATCAGCTCGGGAAGTGTAAAGCCATTGAAATTCCAAAAAGTGCTAGAACTTACACCGCTAGTGAAAGTAAATAGACTCCAAAGAGCTAAACAGTTGCTTCGCTTGGCCACCACCGAAAGTGGGGAACTGCCGAATTTGGTTTTCTCCGATCTCCGATGAGAAAACATTCGTTGTCCAGCAGTTTGTAAACAAACAAAATGGTCGTTTTTACTTGCCAAAGAGGTCAGCTGAAAATGTGGACCTTCGGATGTGGACCAGAACTCAAGCGCCGGCCATGATGATGGTGTGGGCCGCCTTAACAGCCAATGGTCCCTCTCCGCTCGTATTGATCGTGAACCGTGGCATTAGAATAAATGCCGAATATTATCGCAAAAATATTCTGGAGGGTGTATTAAAGCCTTGGGCACGCAAACATTTTGGCCGCAGACCTTGGACATTCCAACAGGACTCGGCACCATCGCACTCAGCACGGGCCACCCAAGAATGGTTGCAAAATGAGTTTCCTCGCTTCATTTCCAGCGCACAATGGCCACCAAAATCTCCGGATACCAATCCGTTGGGCTATTGTGTCTGGAGTATTTTGGAAAGCAAGGCAGGCACTAAAAACTACCAAAGTGTCGATCACCTCAAGCCTCAAGCGCTTCACCGAGAATGGGCCCAAATACGGCAGAGCAACATTCGGGCAGCGTGTGATGGTTTCATTGGCCGTTCGAAGGCCATAATTCGTGCCAAAGCTGACCAATTCGAACAAATCTAAACCTTTTCTAAAATTTGATGCTATTTCCGACATTTTTTGCTTTCATTCAATAAAATTAAAAAAAAGTCAAAATTATGTTTTACTTTGTTGCACTTTTTTTATCTCACCCTGTACGTACCACTCAAATCTTATTTTTTATAGATCTTCAAGAATTAGAAAAAAATCTGTAGGTCGTGTAGAGAGAGAACTTCTTCTGAAATGGACCGTTTTGTGGAAGAGGACTTATTACAGAAAATCTCCTTTAAATGTGGACATAAAATTTTCTTGACCAGACTTTCTTGGTCTGTGACAGATAGAATCTCCTTTGTACTTGGTTTTCACACGGAAGACTAACCTTCAAGAAGTAGAGCTTCAAGAGCTCTGTGATAGATTAGAAATTACTCTAAGAGAATTGTTTTTCTTGGTAACAATATTGTTAGTGTTGCTTTTTTTTGGGTGATTAGATTTTCCATCCCTGATTTTGGCCTCCAAAAAAACTGTTTTGGCAAATGAAAGGAATTTTGAGGAGTCCAAACTATCGCCATGGCTCAGGGAACTTCCATCTCAGTTTATTCCACACTTGATTCCTATTTAACTCCATTTCATGTCATTCAAATTTAGGACATTTTCTGGAGGTTCCAAGCTTAGGTTCTAATTGATTTCCAAATTTCTTCCCTTAAAAACAGACCTCTCCCTTCTTTTGTGGAAATTCCCATAAAATTAGGCGTCTTTAGGCGAAGAAGGTAGGCTACGTCTAGAATTCATGAAATCATATCATATATTTTAGGAAATTTGACTTTCCAACCCTGATACGACCTCCAATATGGTTTATGTTTCGCTAAAATTTATGATATTTTCTAAAGAATTCTGAACGAAATTTCATCTAAGCTAAGAGCTCACTTGGTTTCCAATTTTCTTACTTTGAAAGCAAACCTCCCATCCCTGGCAATTTATCTTTTTACCCGAAACTGTTATCAATTTAAGCGGAGGAGATAAGGTTCCGTTTGGAATTCACACTTTTATGAAATTACCGAAATTTATATTAAAATCTGGACCTGAAGTCTTCTTGACAAAACTTTCTTGGTCTGCCAGAGATGGAAGAATTTATGTAGCCTGGATCTTCGATAGAAGGAAGAGGACTTTTATAAGTAGTCGACCTTTTATAGCTTTTGTGTAAAGTAACAATTACATGAATGGTATAGATTTTATGGTCCCCATAGGTCAATGCTATAGCTCATCGGAAATTTGATTTGCCATCCTTGATACGACCTCCAGGAAGCCATAATGGCAAATTTATGAATTTTTCTCGAGGATTCAAAGCGAACCTTCATCCAAACATAGTCCCCTCTTTATTTCCAATTTACCCGTTTTAAAATTACACCTTGGCTAATTTATGACATTTTCTCGAGGATCCGAAGCGAACTTTCATCCACACATATTCTCCTTTTGATTTCCATTTAAAATCACACCTCCCATCCCTGGCAAATTTATCAAAATTGGCGTTGGTTTTGTGTATATTTTTTTCGGTGTGGACTCTTTACCCGAAAGTCCCTTGAAATTAGGCGCCTTTGGGCGAAGGAGATAGGGTTCCGTCTCGAATTCATTCTTTTAGGAAATCACTCTTGTCTGTACGGGGATAATATCCGGAAATTCCTCTTTAAATCTGGACTTACAGTCTTCTTGACAAGACATCCGTAGTCTGCCATAGATAGCAGAATTTATGTAGCTTAGATCTTGGATAGAAAGAGGAATTTATGAAATTTTCTTGAGGTTTTTAAGCGAAATTCCCATCATGCTTAGTCCCTTTCCGATTTCCACTTTTAAATCACACACCTCCCATCACTGACAATTTATTGACTTTTGGAAGCTCTTGTATGGGGTAAAAATTCCTTGAAGAGAATAGTTTTCCTTTGTCAATGACATGTTGACGACCTCCAGGAAACCATATTGGCGAATTTATGAATTTTCTTTTAAAGCAAAATTCCTCCCAAGCTCAGTCTCTAATTGATTTCCAATTTTCTTCTTAAAAATCGAACCTCCCATCTCTGATAATTTATAAAAATTGCCACTGCAACTGCCATAAAATTAGGCGGATTTGATAGGGATCCGTCTGGAATTCAATATTTCTTGAAATTATTCTAGTGAATTTATGAATTTTCTTTTAAAGAGAATTTCCACCCAAGCTTAGACCCTCCTTGATTTTCAATTTTCTTGCCTTAAATATCGCACCTCCCATCCCAGAATCTGCCATAAAATTAGGCGGAGGTGATAGGATTCCGTCTGGAATTCAAACTTTCTTGAAATTACTCGTGTGTGGACAGGGTTAATATTCAGAATTGCTTTCTTAAATCCGGTTTTAAAGTCTTCTGGACAAGACCAAGAAAGGTCTGACATAGCTGGACGATTTTATGTAGCCTAGATCTTCCATGGAAAGAAGAGGAATTTTATAAGTAGTTGACTTTTAAAAATCCTGCATTGAGTAAACATTTTTTTTTTGTTAGGAAATTTGACTTTCCATCCCTGATACAACCTCCAGGAATCCATATTGGCGGATTTATAATATTTTCTAGAGGGTTTAAAACGAAATTCCAACCATGTTTAGTCTCAAATTGATTTTCAATTTTCTTCGTTTAAAATCAAACCTCCCATCCCTGAATATTTATAAAAATTGCCCTTGATTTTGTCTATCTTTTTCATTTGTGGGCTCTTTACCCGAATCAGCCATAAAAATAGGTGGAGGTGATAGGGTTCCGTCTGGAATTCAAACTTTCTTGAAATTATTCGAGAGTGGAAAGGGCTAATATTCAGAATTGCTTTCTTAAATCCGGCCTTCTGGACAAGACCAAGAAAGGTTTGACATAGCTGGAAGATTTTATGTAGCATAGATCTTCCATGGAAAGAAGAGGCATTTTATAAGTAGTTGACTTTTAAAAATCCTGCATTGAGTAAACATTTTTTTTTTTTTGTTAGGAAATTTGACTTTCCATCCCTGATACGACCTCCAGGAATCCATATTGGTGGATTTATAATATTTTCTAGAGGTTTTAAAGCAAAATTCCAACCAAGGTTAGTCTCTAATTGATTTCCATTTTTTTTCCTTTAAAATCACACCTCCCATCCCTGGAAAATTTCTTATTCTTTTGCGGGCTCTTTACCCGAATCTGCCTTAAAATTAGGCGGAGGTGATAGGGTTCCGTTTGGAATTCAAAATTTCTGGAAATTACTCTAGTGTGGACAGGGTTAATATTCAGAAATGCTTCCTGAAATCCGGTTTTAAAGTCTTCTGGACTAAAGTCTATGTCTGCTATAGATGGAAGATTTTATGTAATCTAGATCATCGATAGAAGAGGACCTTTATATGTATTCGACTTTTAAAAATCCTGCATTGAGTAATTTTTGTTTTTTTTTTTTGTTCTAAAATTTGACTTTCCATCCCTGATGAAACCTCCATGAAAACAAATTGGCACATTTAAGACATTTTCTCGAGGTTTTAAAGCAAAATTCCACTCAAGCTTAATTCCCTATTGATTTCCAATTTCCTTTCGTTTAAAATCACACACCTCCCATCCCTGGTAAATTTATCAAAATTGCCGCAGGTTTTGTGTATCGTTTTTTTTTTTTTGCTTTTGTGGACTCTTTACCCGGTTGCCTTGTGAATGTTGTCTGAGAGCCGACCAAGTGTGTCTCAATGTTTGGGTGGCTGTGTGTGTGGTGGTGAGTGTGGGGGAGAGAATGTGTTGCCATTGCTTTGTGCAATTTGTGTTTTGTTTAGTTTTTGTCGATGAATAAAAGTTGTTCTTGTTGTTGTGAAGAGGTCTGGTGCGTTTTTTTTCTCCTTTTGCTTCTTCTTTGTTTCATTTGCCTGCTTTATGTTTTTGCTGGTTTTGTTTTGAATGAAATTTTGTTGTTGTTTGAGAGTGTGAGAGAGGGGGAGTTTAGTGGGGTGGCAGGTTATAATACTCACTTGGCGCGTTGGCTTGAATTGCACAAACACAATTTTGCCTGTGTTGTAGATGACGTCTGCTGCTGCTACTGCTGCTTGTTCTTGGTGGCTGCTTTAAGATGGACGGACAGTCTGTGACGGCTGTGAGTGGCGGCTCTTGCAGCAGCTGATGACGATTATGATGTGTTGTTGTTTTTTTTTATTTTTTTGGAATATAAAGCGCAAAACAAAGGCGCCAATAAAGACGTAGAGAATTTGAAGAGCAAAATAAAGGCTCAATAAAAATTCTGTTTTTTTGTTGTTGTTTTCTTTTTGTGGCTGCTTCGTTTTTGTTATTGTAAATTATTGCAATTTTCGTAAAAAAAACACTGAAATTCTACACTTTTTGACACTTGGAAGAGAAATATTTTAATTTCCTTTCGATTTTTATTTTTTCAAAATGAATATCAATTTTTATTCACTTTTTTTTTGGTTTTGGAAAAATTATTTTCCATTGATTCCTTTGTTAAGTGGAATTTTATTTGTCTCCCTTGGGAGTTCTGCTGACCTTGTGGCAAATAAACATTCCTTATCGCGTGCTGGCTTTTGTTTAAATAAATCCTAGAATTTAAAATCCCGAACTTTTATAGTTATTTTCCGCGAAACGAGAGGAGACTTGATTTTGAATTCAGAATTATTTTTTTGCCAGAAATTAATCCGCAAAATGCATTTCGTTATCTTCCAGCATTGTTGGGTATTGTTGTTGGTGGCAGACTGATTTATTATCCATTTGTGGCATTTGTTTTAAAGCGGAACGTTTCAACGACATACGACGCGTTTTTTGCTTTGACGAGCGAACGAATGACAATTTTTTTGTTTTACAACAATAATGCGTAGGCGAAAATTGTATTTTTGTAGGACCCTTGCCCGCGGGGTTTAAAAATCACTGCTTTGAAGTTTTCCTCCACAGAAGAGTTATCCAGAGACCCAATAGTTTGGGGGAGGCCAGTAGGGAGCCATAGGAGAAGAGCGGCTTAGTTGTTTTCTATTCCCTTTCTCCTCTCTTGGCATACACTCACAGACAATTACACGCACACACTCACACTCACTCACTCTGCTTCATTGAGCTTTGGCTTTGCATACTTCATACGCTTTGCTGCTGTTATATATTTTTTCCCGTTATCCGGTAGTTTTCCCGTCGATTATCGCTGAGCAACTGAATTTCCGACAATTTCAACCATTATAAAACTGTCATTTTCAGTTCATTACAAAGAGTTACATACGCCGTTGTGGTGGCTGGCTGCTGCTCTTCTTGTTGTTGTTGTCATTATTTTCAATATATGTTTGGGGTTGTTTTTCCCATTCCCAGCGCGTTCGCAAAAAATCCAATTCCAATTCCTTATGGCTCGCGCATGACATTCTTTATCCACGAACCAACTGGCTTGTGGTGAACTGTCAAACGAGAAATACGGTTCTCATTTGATTAATTTTTCCAATTGGTGTACTCACTCTCTCTCTCACTCTCGAAGACGAAGAGGAAATACAGTGAGAGCGTTGGATTTTTCAACCACACATGCAATATCTGTTCGGCAAATCGAGTCTGAGAGAGAGAGAGAGTTTTATTATTTGCAAAGTGGCAATTTTTTAATCTCTTCTTTATGCATTGGCGCCCCAAACAAACAACAGTAGTGCCAAGTTTTATTCAGTTAACAGGGGTGGGAGTTCTAGTAAATATTTTATATATTGGTTTTAAATAGAGGCAAATTTTTAAAAATGGCTTTTAAGGATTTAAACAAACGTGGGGATTTTTTTTTCAAAAAAAAATATGAAGACGATTTTTTGAAAAAAAAAAAATATATATACAAGGACTTCTAGGTCTGCAAAAAGTGGATTTTTTTAAATAATAATTTAAAGGAAGATAAGTTTAAACTTGGATTTTTTCAATATGTATTTTCAGGACTATCATGGCCATAACACCTGACTTTTTTTGTAGAATATTTCTTGGGGCCATAATCGAAGATTTAAAAAAATATATATTTTCCAAGGTGTATCAAAGGACATTTTCACAAGAACTACCAGTGCTAAAAATGTGATTTTTTAAGAATATTTTTAAAGGACTATAAGGGAACAAATCTTTATCAGGGATATAAAATGGGGCTTTCAAAAAATATTTTCAAGGGCTGTAAGGCTTAAAAATTTGGATTTATAAAGAAGAACTGTCAGGACATAAAATGTGGATTTTTAAGAGAGAAAACATTCGAGGATTGTGAGAGCAATCAACTTGGGTTTTTTAAAGAATATTTTCAGGTATTTATTTATTAAAAATATTTTTGAAGGACTAACAGGGATAAAGACATGGTGTAATTGAAGAATATTGTTCAAGGACTAAGAGAAAGATATATCTAAATTTTACAAAGGATATTTGTCAAGGACTAAGAGATATATAAAAGTAAATTTGTTAAAAGATATTTTTCGAGGAATAACAGGGAAAAAAAAAGATGGATGAATGGAATTTTCAAGGACTAATAGGGCTATGTATGCTGATTTTTAAAAAATATTTTTCCCAGAGCGAACATCCTTAAAAACAGGGATTTATTATAAAAATGTAAATTTATTAAAGAATAACTTCCAAAGACTATCTGGAATACAAAACCAACAATTAATTAAAGAAAATATTTCAAGGATCAGCTGGAAACATAAACGTGAATTTTTCAAAGAATACTTTTCAGGGACTAACAAGAATAACAAAATTTATCGAAATCGGTTCAAATATAGCTATAACTCCCATATATACTATTCATCCGATTTGTTATTTTTGTCCTCCGCAGCCGTAATATGCACTCTGTAGCAATAATATTAGGGGAAATATAGCAAATACAGCTCAGAAATACTTTTGCCAAATTTTATCGAGATCGGTACAGATTTGGATATACCTCTCATATATAACTTCGTCCGATTTATATTTTATTGTACACCAAACGTCAAATATTTGTCCAAATGGTATGGAATTTTGCACTTACGACCGAATTGAGTCTACAAGCTAGTATGTCAAATTTGGTGAAGATCGGTTCAGATATAGCTATAGCTCCCGTATATATTATTCATCCGATTTGTTATTTTTGTCCTCCGCAGCCGTAATATGCACTCTGTAACAGCAATATTTGGGGAAATATATCAAATACAGTTTAGAAATATCTTTGCTAAATTTTATCGAGATCTTTTCAGATTTGGATATATCTCCCATATATAACTTCGTCCGTTTTACCTTTTTATGGTGCACCAAACGTCTAATATTTGTCCAAATGGAATGGAATTTGGCACATACGACCGAATTGAGTCTAGAAGCTAGTTTACCAAATTTGGTGAAGATCGGTTCAGATATAGCTATAGCTCCCATATATATACTGTTCATCCGATTTGTTATTTTTGACCTCCGCAGCCGTAATATGCACTTTGTAACAACAATATTTGGGGAAATATATGAAAGACAGCTGAGAATTATCTTTGCCAAATTTTATCGAGATCGGTTCCGATTTGAATATAGCTCTCACATATAACTTCGTCCGATTTACCTTTTTATGGTGCACCAAACGTCTAATATTTGTCCAAATAGGATGAAATTTGGCACTTACGACCGAATTGAGTCTAGAAGCTAGTATGTCACATTTGGTCGAAATCGGTTTAGATATAGCTATAGCTCCCATATATATTTTTCATCCGATTTGTTATATTTGTTACCCACAGCCGTAATATGCACTCCATAGTAACGATATTCGGGGAAATATAGCAAATACAGCTCAGAAATATCTTTGCCAAATTTTATCGAGATCGGTTCAGGTTTGGATATAGCTCCCATATATAACTTCGTCCGATTTACCTTTTTATGGTGCACCAAATGTCTAATATTTGTCCAAATGGGATGAAATTTGGCACGTACGACCGAATTGAGTCTAGAAGCTAGTATGTCAAATTTGATGAAGATCGGTTCAGATATAGCTATAGCTCCCATATATATACTGTTCATCCGATATGTTATATTTGCTACCCACAGCCGTAATATGCACTCCGTAACAACTATATTCAGGGGAATATATGAAATACAGCTGAGAAATATCTTTGCCAAATTTTATCGAGATCGGTTCAGATTTGGATATAGCTCCCATATATAACTTCGTCCGATTTAGCTTTCGATGGTGCACCAAACGTCTAATATTTGTCCAAATGGGATGGAATTTGGCACATACCATCGAATTGAGTCTAGAAGATAGTATGTCAAATTTGGTGAAGATCGGTTCAGATATAGCTATAGCTCCCATATATATAGTGTTCATCCGATTTGTTATTTTTATTACCCACAGCCGTAATATGCACTCTGTAACAAAAATATTTGGGGAAATATATGAAACACAGCTCAGAAATATCTTTGCCAAATTTTATCGAGATCGGTTCAGATTTGGATATAGCTCCCATATATAACTTCGTCCGATTTAGCTTTCGATGGTGCACCAAACGTCTAATATTTGTCCAAATGGGATGGAATTTGGCACATACCATCGAATTGAGTCTAGAAGATAGTATGTCAAATTTGGTGAAGATCGGTTCAGATATAGCTATAGCTCCCATATATACTATTCATCCGATTTCTTATTTTTGTCCTCCGCAGCCGTAATATGCACTCTGTAACAACGATATTCAGGGAAATATATGAAATACAGCTCAGAAAAATCTTTGCAAAATTTTATCGAAATCGGTTCAGATTTGGATATAGCTCTCATATATAACTTTGTCCGATTTAGTAGTGTGCTTATGGGGATGTTGGGAATTCACCACGATTTATCACGGCAAATTCTATTGGGGATGTTGATTTGGGTAAATTCACCACGGTGAATTTTAATGGGGATGTTGTCTTGGGAATTGTACCACGGCAAATTCTATTGGGGATGTTGATTAGGGTAAATTCTCCACGGTGAAATATATTGGGGATGTTGTCTTTTGAAATGTACCACGGTGAATTATATTGGGGATGTTGTCTTTTGAAATGTACCACGGTGAAATATATTGGGGATGTTGTCTTTTGAAATGTACCACGTCAAATTTTATTGGGGCTGTTGGCGTTGGCGTTGCTAGTTTTAATATGAACTACTAGATGGCGCTAAGTTTAGCGCAGACACAATCCAAAACTGTGTATGGGATGGTGACATTTCAAGTTTTAATATTCACCACTAGCAGAGACACCCTCCGAAAAAAAAAATGTATTATGATCATATCGAGTGGAGCTAAAGAGATTCACCATGTGAGAAGTGAATATAGCAGAAACACATCTGAAAGAGGTAAGTATCGAAGAAAATCATTTTATCTAGATGGCTCTCAGAATGCTTTTATATAGTCAACATGCTGATTACTGCAGTCAAATGTGCTTATTAATTTATTTGAAAACATATATTTCAAGAAATCGACTTCAATAAATGTGATATATTATAGAAGAGTTTCAATTGACAAATATGCTGCAATTATTGATATTTCAGGGATTTTAAGAAAAACGATAACGAAGTCGAGTGGGTTGAACACGAAAATCAGCATGTTGGCTATGCAAAACATGATGAGATAAAAAGACAAAACTAACTTTTCGTTGTACTTGTTTTAATTTGTCTATAATTTTAGCGACTCAAAAATGTTCAGTCATTTCCCTCGAAACGATATAGGCGACATCTAACGGTGAGTTCCATCCATACTATCCATAAATTATGTTGTAGCATAGACACACTCCAAAACTATTGAAATATGATCATATCGAATGGGGCTAGAGAGATCCACCATATGAGAAGCGAATATAGCAGAGACAAATTTGGTTAGTATCATAGTCAACAAGAAGATGTGTGTTCTATTATTTTGTCCAGATGGCTCTCCAGTCATTTCCCTCGAAACGATATAGGCGACATCTAACCACCAATTAATGTTGTAGCATATACACACTAAAAAAAATGCTGCTGTAGCCAATCAAAGCAAATTCTTCTTGTGTGGACAGGCATTTTGATACATTATATCGATCGCTTTTTGATAGTTTTGTCGATGAAGAATTTGTTTACATTATGTAGCAATTTGAGAGAATTGAAACTGAAAGAGTTTCATGACAAACCCTGCATCAATTCGGTATTGAAGATTGAAGGGATTTGAAGAAGGAAACACCATTGTTTACATTAACTAACAATTGGATTTCTGTGAAATGGATATGAGAATTTGGGGGGAAGCGTTGTTGCAGAGTTTCATGACAAATTCTGCTTCAATCACAGAATTTCTATTTGTTTACAAAATGTAGTCAATAATGTATTGATTGGATTGGAAGAAATTTCAGTACTCAACAAG